CGATCGGCAATAGGCCTTTAATATATATTATTTAGTCAATTATTTAGTATTAATTAGCAAAACAAATTATTTGGTTCGATTATTATAATTTAATATATTTTCTAACTGAAAAGTTAAATATGTTTTTATTATGTTTTTGCAGTGCTCAAGTACAATTTACAAATGAACGATTTAGTGATTTAAAATTTAGTTTTTCTTCAAAGAATTAAAATGAATGTGTTATTAAAACTTGCATTCGATAAGTCCTGTTCAAATCGATTCAAAGTGAAGCTCACTGTATTGAGTCTCTACGCACTTGTGTAAAACAATTTCAAAGGCATCGTACGCACGCATGTACGTTTAATCGTAGCTCGAGCTCTTTCCTAGGCAGACGTGTGAATCGTAATAGTGACACTGGGTCGGGGACTCTTACGAGTTGCATTCCTTGCAATGTTCTTGTTGCAACATTCGCGACATTTGTCACGCTATTGATTTCTCGTCAACTGCGGCGTCTGTCTCAACTTTTAAAAAAGAAACAATCGGATTTTATTATCGTTATTTTTACGACATTAATTAATTTTCTCGCTATATGTTATTTGCGACTGTCAACATGGAAATCCTTGACAATCCAGGAAAAATCGCAAAGTTGTATAATAGAGATCGAAGGTTCGTTCGAAAATTTTGTTATTAATTTGTTACAGATGAAAGGATCGCTCGTCTCGAATTTATGCTAAATGTGTATTGCTTCGTACCAGCAGCTATTATTGTGAAAATATCATAAAATTCAACGCAATTCGATACATACTAAATATTTATTAGCTGCGTGAGGAATTTTATTAAACGCGAACTTGATTTCTATTCTTGAACAAATATTTCGTTATTATACTCATTTCGTATATATCATTTTACACAACATTTTATATCTATAAGTAAATCAAATTCGAAAATCTTAATTTCTTGATAGATGATAATAAAAATGCATGAATAAAAACAGATTTATATTTTTGCAATTATAATTTGGCAATTTATGATTATAATGCAATAATCATGCAGTATTTAGACATAACGAGCTAAAAAATATCTGTTAAGCAACATAAAATCATCTGAAACGTGAAAATTTTTGGAATTTTCAACGCTTATTAATTTTCATAATCTTCGCAATGTAATTAAAAATACACATTCGTAATTAAAGAATTTTAATATGTATTCATCGTTGTCTTCTAGTATTTTTAGAGATCAGCGTTTGTCTGTTTCGCGTCGCGCATCCCCACACATCCCCGCTATTCCCTCAAGCATTCAATAAATCTAAATCATGGACCATCTTTATATGACAGATTTGATTGTGTGCTGTTATAAACATTTGCAATGTCACGTTATTATAGGTACATCATCTCATCTACTCGATGCGACAGTTGTGTCGAATGCATTTTTGGGTGAATGCATTGTAACTAGAGAATTAGACTCGCAGTTGATTTATTCTATTGAAATTGTTTGGAAATCTTTCTCTCTTTGTTTCGTACCTTATTTTATCCATTAGATAAATTATCACATAGTTTATCTGAAGGTGGAACAACCGTTTCTAAATCTAATATCTAGATTATGTAGAAGGTTAGGCAAGAAAATTAAAATTTACTCTTCTAATTGATTTAATTAAAAAGAAGATAAAGTGTGTGAATATTTTTTAGTGTATACGTGTGAGGTACGATTTATTAAATTAATAAATAAACTCATAATAATTTATTGTAGTCGTGTCAAATACCCAAGTAGAACACAGAAGTCATGAGGACATCATCATGACCTCATTCGTCACTTATAAGTCAATTTTTAGGTATTAAATGACGTCATGATGAAGTCCTGTAATACCATTATGACTTAATTATGACTCCGTGTTCTACCTGGGTATAAAGTCCTAAAATGCGTCACAAGTCGTGGTTCTCTTATTCCTAGACTAGACATTTCAATTACGTTCAACAGACGGGGGGATTGGTAATTGTTGCATGTGAACGCGTAACTTATACGGTATCGGTAAGTGCAAAAATAATTTATCTTACTGTTTACGTGGGCGGAGCGCATGACATTACGTCTATCATGAGCGAGTACGAGCTAGCAAACGAAACGCGTACGCGGCTAAACTCGCACATTACTTCCGCTTTATCATAATTTTTATTAACGACTGCACGACGGGCGATCCTTTATTATCACGATGGGTAATTCCCTCTTTTCCTCGCGATTCTTGTTACATCATATACCGATTTGTCTGAAGTAAAGATATTAGCGTGATTGTGATTACCCTATTAATTCAATTATGCCATTAATAGAAATTGCTAAACATCAAGAATATTTTTATGAACGGAGATTATTCTGTGTTTTTGACGAGGAAACGTTTATCTTCAGTAAAGATTGCACGTCGCTTTATATCTATCGTCAAGCTTATGGAAATTAAATAAATTATAGATAATCGAATGAATAAGTAAATAATTTATTTTTACACATATGTAGTTTCTTAACATATAATATATATATTCCATTATAATAGACGGAAAGGACGGTTTTGCTAAAGTATCCAAAAATTTAATTAAAAATACAGATCTTGTAATAATTTTGTTTGGACCATCAAAATTATTATGGAGGACGCTTAAATTGGTTACAATTATTTTGATAGTCGAATAAAATTATTTTCAGATTTATATGTAGCTAAATTTTTAGATATTTCAGCAAAATCATTCTTTGCGTATAAGTCTATTCTTTTCAGCTGAATTTTGTTTTTTTTTTGTGCATGATTCATCCTTCATCTTCTTTTCTCTAACATGAAAAAAAGAGGAAAGATGGACCATGAAAGAAGTTGAGTTAAAAGGAAAGGAACTAATAAACTTGCGCACGCTCATCTCATTATTTATTTAACTAATATTTAATCGAAAGAGGAGTTTCGAGTTCACCTTGCCGGCCAATGTCCATGGTGCGCGCGCGACGAATCGATCACCTGGCGACGGAAAAAAGAAAGTGAGAATAATTTAATCGACGATCGGCGCAATATGCTTAGCGTTCGTTTCGTTTTGTGACGCGCGACACACATGTCGCTCATTCAAATGAAAGACCTTCTCTAGCTTTGCGCGAGGCGTGTAAACAGGACAAATACATCGTTGAACTTCGCGGTTGGACTGTTAAAAAAAAGTAATACCACGTGTGTTTTCACGTCGACCGCGGGGACCTCGATGAAGAGATTGATGGCAGGATGCTGCAAGCCCTTCACCACAAATATGTATGACGATAGTAACAGAGTTTATTGCTTTCGTTTCTCTCTCTCTCTTTCTTTCTCTCGGTTTCAACATTGCTGTCGTGTTACGTCCTATTTTTTATGGGCGTGCCTATGATGCGTGCATCACTTATTTACTAGCCAAATCAGACCCGAGGGGACTGAAGGCCATTTCCGAAGAAATAGAGATCTTATAATTTGAGAGAAATGCGCCAAGAGTTACGCGATCATGATATCTGCTGATTAGCTGGAGTGAAATTTGTTTCCTATCCTTATTTTACGCCTAATGAACGATAAAGACAAAAGCGTTAACTATTGTGTCATTCAAGCCGTTGACTATTGTTTTCTTTATTAAACGTAAAACAAGAATAGAATGCAATTTTCTTTCCAGCCAATCGGCAATTATTATGGCCATGTGACTCTTGGCGCATTTCTATTATATTATAAGAAGTTTGTTCGCGTTGCTTAAAATCTCAAAAAATTTTTGAACTTGAAACAAATATACATATATTCGGACGTTGAGAAGAGAGAAGGCAAAGATGCTGAGTGCAAAAAGTACAAGCAACGCGCACAAACAAGCAGATCTAGGATTTTTACAAAGAAAGAAGTTCTATTTTTTATTTCTCAGCGACAGATTTCTTGAATGGGAGGCAAGGTGTTCCTGTTCCGCGTCACGATTCTTCCTCGCGTGTTTATGGAGCTAGTACATTCAAATGCGATTCGCAGACGCGAGTCGAATTCTGCGTAGGTATTACATAAATTTCGCGTATGAAAATCAGAACAAGTTTCACCGAATTCGCTATTCGAGGAGTGTCGCGTCGCAGCAAGGGAAATTCGCGGACGCGAAGTCGAGTGACTTGTACGTTTCTAGTGAATCGCGTGAGCACGCGTGTAATACGCAACGGTGGATTCATTCGTTCAGCTGGTTAATTGATTTTCTGATTGCGACTCTGATTACGGAAAGCATTTTCGTACGTCTCGATACTTCATTTCATTAGTGATCTTCTCGCTTCATTCGCTTCCTCGTTAAACACAAGTTTCCAGCATTCCGTACTATTATTTAGAGGATTTAGGATTTGGACACAATGAAAAGCACAGGCAATAGGAACAGAGAATAATGGATTTCAATCTATTAGAAATCGTGTATTACACGTACCTATACTGTAATATGCGATTTAGTTTGAGACACAATAGAAAAGCACACGCAACAGAAACATGGAATAACAACAGACTTCGATCTACCTGCAGAAATCGTGTTACACACAGCATAATATACAGTTTTTTACGTAGGTTGACATCTATTTCTGTTCCTATAAAAGAAACGAGTTTGTTAAAGTTTTTGAATTTAACAATTCAATTAGATACAAATCCGAAAGTAAATTGACATTTTAGCCACCAATTTGAGCGTCCTACATAATATTTGATTGTATAACAAAGTTATTTTTAATCTATATATCGCTAAATTTTGTTCTGTTCTCTAAAACTTCAATATATTTGTTGGCCAATGTAATCTGATTTAAATATCATTTGTAATTTTCAAGAGTAGAGTCAGATTTTCTCCTTCAATATTTTTTAAGCAATTAAAATTATTTATTCTGCTAAAGAATGATATTGCACTTTTACTACACTATTCAAGGATACATAACACTATTCCAACAAAAATAGAATTCAAACGGTATTCGAAACAAATGGTAAAACGCAACTTCTTATTAATAAAACAAACAGACAGTATATGTCTCAAGTATTTACATTATTTAGTCTAACTGTAGTCCCTGTAGATTCAAGAATATACGCTTGCTCGATCTCTTCGCCTGAAACACCAACTGCACGTTAAAAATAAATTCTTTTTCGTCAGATTACGCGATCTGGCAGCGATTTTTCTTTTACCGAATTTCACGGGCGCCGCAACAATTTCGGAAGACTAGCCCGGCCGGGGGTGGTTCTCTTGCCAAGTTTGAACTCCGACGCCAACCCTCGATGCACCGCACCAGCGAGGTCGCTCGGTCGTCTCCGTCGACTCTCGGCCACGACCGGCAAATACGCGCGGCATGCGTCCAGCAACCAGCGCCGTGACCTGTCGGCAGACTACCAAAGCAGACCAAAGTTAAGTCAGACGCCGACGATCGGGAAACGATGTCGCCGTCTTTGTTGTGCGCGCTGCCGACCATCGCCGCCTCCAATTGCAGGCCCGCAGTCGGTGCGCTGGCCGTTTCCACCGTTTGTCGCGTCTCCGCGACTAGCTCATAATCCATCCGCGTAAATTGGCGCGCGGGACCGTTTGTGCTGCTGCGCCTGATTGAAAGCGGCGGCGGTCGG